CCCCCCCCCCCAGGGAAACGTCCTCTCCTTACCGCACATCCCAGCGGGCGCCCGGGCTCTTCCCAACAGTGGAAGGGGAAGCGGCTGCTGCCGCCGCCGACGTACCGCCCACCCGTGACCTCACTGCGGAGACAGAGGAGGAGGAGGAAGAGGGTGGAAAAGCCGCCGTGACGGCGGCGGCGGCGGCGGCGCACGGGCAGGAATCCGCCCGGCTCGCGCGTCCTGCCAAGCCCCGCCCCTGTCTGGGCCAGGCGGCGCCGGCGCTGCGGCGCGTGTGTGTCTGCGAAGAGACGTCATCCTGCTTCCTCCCCCCCTCGCGCCTTGGGGGCGAGCGAGGGAACCCCGTCTGCTGCGCCGTTTCAACGCCGCTCGGCTCCTTCCACGCGTGGGCCGGGCCAGACCGCGACCGGGGGGGGGGCGGGGGGAGGTCATTAGATCCCCAACCCCGTTAAGGTGCAGTGCCTGGGGCCACGTGATTTCCCGGCGCCTCTCCCGCCCCAACCTGGCCCGATCCCGAGCCGACCTTGGGTGACCTCGAAAACCTGAGCCGGGTCTGCTGGCGCCAGTGCTGGGAGAGGAGACCACCAGGAAATCCCAGGCTGTAGGCTGCCAGGGAGATGGAAAAAAAAAAGTATTATATGGCAGACACTTCCGTATTACTGCAAAGGTATGCCAGCCGTAAGTCTTCCAGATCTAAGGTGGCTGGAAAACCACCTTTCCGCCGCCTCAACTCCTCTTGGCTCCCATCTCGTCCTCCCCACAATCTCTTCCTCCCCGAGCCACATGTCGTGTTTACGAGTGCGCAGCCTCTACTGCCTTCGTGGGGTCGTTTCAGAAGAGCAAGCCCCGGGGCGAGAGTGCCGCAGAGTTTTTGCACGGTACTCCATGCAGGGTGTGGGGGTGCAAAATGAGTTTCGTTTCACGATAAAAAGGGTGCCTTTTGCGGTGGGGGGGGCAGACTGATCTTACGTGGTATTTGTGCACCAGAGAAACTAGCCCCCTCCAGATTTTCCGGGACTTNTGGGGTCGTTTCAGAAGAGCAAGCCCCGGGGCGAGAGTGCCGCAGAGTTTTTGCACGGTACTCCATGCAGGGTGTGGGGGTGCAAAATGAGTTTCGTTTCACGATAAAAAGGGTGCCTTTTGCGGTGGGGGGGGCAGACTGATCTTACGTGGTATTTGTGCACCAGAGAAACTAGCCCCCTCCAGATTTTCCGGGACTTTAGATCCCAGGATTTACGAACCTACAAATCTCGGCATCTTGGCTTAGTGGGTTTGGTGATTCCAGCAATGGGAGTCTAAAATGCTAATTACTGGCTAGGAATTCTGGAAGTTGCAGTTCTGGCACGTCTGGAGTTCACCTGATTGGGAAAAGCTAAACCAGGCTCCCTACCGCCATTTAGAAAATGAAACGTTCCTGCAATTAATTGCTTAAAGCAGAAAATCCAAATGACGACTTCCCCTCCCACTTCCATTACCTAAAGGTATCAGACTTCCCTCTGGATTGCGTTGTGACTCGGATGTCATTGGATGAGGAATTTACATTATCTCGTGATAAACTGTCTTGATGTGTTTGTTTTTAGGTTGTCTGGTCAAAAGCCCCATTATTCTCTTTGGTGTAGTTTGCAATCACCCTTGAACCCAGAGTTTCTGAACCAGGGTTTCTGGAAACTGAAGCCCACACATCTTAAAAGTAGCTGAGATCGACAAATCATGTTTAACTTCTTCATATATATTCTGACAAAGTCGGAACTTACTAGTAACAAGTTTTCTTTTTCACATTATAATATCGCTTTCCATCAAAGCTGTTATAATCAGACAAAGTTTATTTGGCAAAACTTTTTAATATGGAGAAAGGGTCATTGTTAGCCAGTTTTCTCTCCTTTAAGGATACTTCCTGTATATTTCTCAAAATCTGTGTAACCTCCAATCACAAACGTATGGGTCCGCGTAACTCAGGAATTTCAAGGAATGCACAATCTGTGTGTGTGCCTTCAAGTCA